CTTACAGCAACCTCCAGCTCTTGGGCTTAGGCAATTCTCTTGCCTCAGCCTCCCGAGTAGCTGGGACTACAGGTGCCCGCCACAACACCCTGATATTTTTTGTTGTAGCTGTCGTTGTTATTTAGCAGGCCCAGGCTGGGTTCAAACCTGCCAGCCCTGGTGCATGTGGCCGGCACCCTAACCACTGAGTGATGGGCACCAAGCCCACAGTTCCACTCCTTGATGGTATCCTTTGATTTTTTTCTTCTTGACTAAACTTTTGTTTTTCTAGCCAAGTCTTTTATTTTTATCTTCTATTTCATTAATTCATGCTTTAAAGGTATTTTCTTCTACTTTCATCTGGTGTTTACAAAGTTATTTTCCCTATTTTTTTTTTTTTTTGTTTGTTTGTTTTTTCAGACAAGGTCGCCTTCTGTCATTTAGGCGGGAAAGTAGCGTCAAACTCTGGGCTCAATCCCGAGTAACTGGGACCATAGGCATGTGCTATCACACTGGCTCATTTTTCTCTTTTCTTTCTTTTGTACAGACAGTGATATAGGACAGGTGGCCCCCAGCCAGCTCAGTCCAGCTGGGCTGGAGGACCTGCTGCCTCCGCCTTAGTGGTGTTGGTGCTGCGGCAGCCGGCAGAGGAACCAGGGGGTGGAGCATGGGCAAGTGGGGGGAGCCTCCCTCCCCCACCGTAGGCTCCAGTAGCCAAAGGGACCGGACAACTGCTGGGAGACCCGGCACCTTGGTGTCTCCTTCCTTTTTACACTTATGACTAAATACGGAACCCCCATTTCCTATGCCTAGGTCAATTTCATGTAAGTTTCCTAGAGCCTCAGTTCTGTGAACCGAACTGTGTGCATTCATTAGTACAGTCATTCACCTTGCCCCAGAGGAAGAGACTGTGTCCATTCATTTCCTGGCCTCATATAGAAGGAACCCGTGCACCTATATACACCCCTAAATGGAGGCTTTTCTCTCCCAACTAGGGTTTTCTCTTCCTACCAGGAACTTTAGTGTTTTTGTATTCTTTTCTGTAAATAAATTCTGTCTTGCCACTGATCTGTGGTCCGCGGATTTATCCTTCAAATCACCGAGACCAAGAACCTGGTATCAACAGGATCTCACTATGTTGCCCAGGCTGGTCTCAAACTCCCAGGCTCAAGCAACCCTCCTGCCTTGGCCTCCCAAAGTGCTGGGTGAGCGCCACTGCAGCTTCCCTAACTCTTTAAGTAGAATACTTAAATCAAGAAAGAATAATAAAATTCATTTATTTGAAAAACATTTTAAGACTACAAATTTTCTTCTAAGAAATACTTTGGTTACATTCTGAAGATTTAGATTTACTGTGTGCTTATTTTTATGTTTCTATATACCTGTAAGTTTTTTTTTTTTGGTAGTTTTTGCAGTTTTTGGCCAGAGCTGTGTTTGAAACTACCACCTCCGGTATATGGGGCTGGCACCTTACTCCTCTGAGCCACAGGTGCTGCCTTGTAAGTTCATTTTAAATATTTCATTAAAAAGTACTTTTCTAAATAATTCTTCATTTAAATTTCCAAGTTTCCAGAATGGGGTGGAAGGAAACAGCTATCCTTCCATGGTTACTTTGTATTCTACTGCATTGTAATCAGAGGATGAGGTCTGGGTCTATTCTTTTTCAGGGGCTCCAGATTTTCTGTGGCTGGAGATCAGTATGTATAAAACTCCAAGGATGCCTGAAAATAGCAGTTTTCTCTGATAACTGGGTAACTCTGTTACACCTGTCTAAACAAGTTTGTGTTATTCAAATCCTTATTCTCTTTCTAAGCCTGATTTTTCAAATTTCTGGGCAACTCTATAAGCTACTCACCAGCCTTTCCATAAATATCCTTTCTGTTTGAACCAGCAACATTCAGTTTATTCTGCTTGCAACTAAGAAACCTAAACACTAACATCCCTATCTTGAACTCTACCTCTCACTTAGCTGTAGTACTTCTTCCAATATGTTTCAGGTGATTATACATTGTTTCCTGGAAATATCCCAAATGATGATGTCTTGAAATAGTTCTTTTTTTTCTCCCTTATCACTTGCAAATCTTCTAACTTCAGATTGCAGATACAAAAGATTAACGCCATAGGGCCTTCTAAGTAACCTATTATAATCAGTTATCCGTTGCTGCTAGATAAGATCCCCCCAACTTAGTGCTTCATAATAATAAAAATATTATTTCTCATAATTCCATGGGTCAACTTGTAATTCTTCTGATCTGAGTTAGCTGGTTGTTGGGCTGGGGCTGGTCTAAACTGGGGTCATTCACACAGGTTAACATGTAGGCCAAGTTGGTCTAGGAGACACCAGCTAAGACAGCTCATCTCTGCCCCAAATGATCTCTAGCCTTCTTTTGGGGCTAGTAAAAGAGTTCCCAACAGCAATGGAGGCAAAGTCCCAAAGTACAAGCAATTTTCCATTCATATCACATTTGATAATACCCCACAGGCTAAAGCAAGACATATGGCCATGCCAGATTACAAGGCAGGAAAACACCTCTTGATGGGAGGAGCTACAAAGTCATATTGCAAGAGGGTGTACTTATATGGGTGAAAAGACTTTATGGTCATTTTTTGTAATCCACCATACTAGCTTGCAAGTTCTTTCTTTGTACTGACTTTTTACTGTGGCAAAATATACGTAACATAAATTTACCACACTGACAATGTTGTACCATCACCCCAAATGCAAGTTCTCTCTTCATCTTTGGAGGTAAAAAAGAATATCCCTAAGGGAGGAATACCTGAGGTCAGTATTCAGTGTAACTTAGTCTGAAAGTTAACGTTTTTTAAGCCCAGAGATGTCTGTTACTATTTGGTTTTTGTTTTTCCTCCATCTGTTTCTTCTGGAGCCCCGAATTGCCACTAGGGTTCCACAGTATGTTCCTCCCACCTCTCTTCTTCTCACTAACAGCTTGTTTTTCTTTGTGTCATTTTTGTTTTCTATCATGAGGCAGCTTCCTGCTTGACTTTTTGTAGGCGCATCTATTCGTTTTTTCAATTCCACTGAATGTCAACAACCTGAAAAATCATGGGTTTATTTCCCTTCAAATAAATCCTTTTTATTTCTAAGTTCTCTTCATTTCTTATATTGAATTTGCCTTACATAAGTCATTCGTTTTGGCTGTTTAGCTTGATTTTCTGGTTCTCAAACGACTGAGTTTCCTGTAACTTTATCTGCTCTTTGCCCAATTCCATCAGCTGCCATAGGTTCCTTTAGCGCTTACGGACGTGCTGACGGAGTTCTCCAATCAGCTAGCAGGGAGAGCCATGCTAACAGCTAACCATAAAGCAGGAGGAAGCAGTTCCCTTAGTCACCCAGCTCTTGCACCTGCCTCAGCTGGCTGGGCTACTTACTGTCTTTGCCCCACGCTTAGCCAGACACTCAGCCTCCTTTCTAGGGTGCAGGGATGCCCTTCCTCCCAGCTTAGTAGACAATGATGACAGAAGGTATCCAGAGGCAAAACTGCTAAATGGTCTTCCCAGAAGCCCAAATCCTAATGTGTGCTTAGCATAAACTCCCTCTAAGTTCCACAGTATGCTTTGTACCACCATATCTACTTCCTATACATTTTAAAACCATTTTTTCCCTTTGTACTCGAATCACCCCAGTAGGACATTTAGAACGCTAAGGAGGAACAGAAACAAACATACTTAAACCGCCACCTTTTAAAAACATAAAGTAATTAACAGGGAAGGTAGGAAAACATTATTAAAGTAGTCCTCCCTTATCCATGATTTCACTTTCTGTGGTCTAAAAACATTAACTGGAAAATTCCAGAAATAAACAACTTGTAAGTCTGAAATTACATGCTGTTCTGAGTAGCGTGATGAAATCCTGTATCCTCCTGTTCCGTTTGGCCCAGGACGTGAATCATCCCTTTGTCCAGTGTATCTACACTTACATCCCCCTGGCCCATTTGTCGCTTACCAACCATCTTGGTTATCAGATGTACTGTCCTGAGATTGCAGTGCTTGTGTTCTAATAACCCTTATTTTACTTAATCATGGCCCCAAAGCACCAGAATAGTGATGCTGGCACATTGTTACAGTTGTTCTATTTTGTTATTATTGTCATTAATCTCTTTTGGTGCCTAATTTATAAATTAAACTTTTCATAGACTTCTCATACATATTTTGAATAGGGTTTGGTACTATCTGAGGTTTCAGGCATCCACTGGGGTCTTGGAACATAACCCGCAGTAAGAGTGGACGACTATGCAAAGATCTGAATGTTTATCCACATGCCACTAAAATTCATCACTTTGGAGAAAATCATGTTACACTTTGGAAAACTCTGATCAGCTGTCTCTGCTTCTCCTATTATAAACTACAAAATACTTTATTAACAGCTTCGAATGGAGAGCTATAGCAGTCTCTCTGTATCCTACTTTGTAATCTAGGATTTTTATGTTTTCCAGTATAAAGCAACATATCTGACAATGTCAAGAGGCAGCATGTGCAGTAGGTACGAATTAGATTATAAGCAAACATTCATATTTATGATCATAAATGCCTAATAAAAGCAAACATTCATGATACTATATACCACACAACCACCATATGCAATCCTTATTCCTTGTACCTAGACATGAAAATTCATCACATACATCATCGTTTTATATTTTAGAAAATTTTGATACGATACTTAACAAGCTCATTGCTGCCTAGGTTAACATGCATCTCTCTGAGCTCCTCTTAAATTTTATTACTAGAAACTGTCCTAGAGGACAATGTCTTTAAGGTTAAATGATGAAACTTAGAACCACACTTTTTTTCTTTGTCCAAATACACGTTAAGGATTTCAAACAAACAAACAAACAAACAGAAAGCTGATATTTCTTACCGAGACAATTTGAAGCATCAACTTGTTCTTTCAAAAAATCAACACACATTTTCTTCACAGGTTCAATCTGATACTGGTTTGCAGCATCTAACAAAGACTGAACATTGTTGCTATTCACAGAAATTCTGCAAATAAGTGAATACTTCCCATTATTTTTATGTTTTTGAATGTTACTGTAGAAAATATCCCACTAGCCCCTGAAATTAAACAAAACATTAAACTGTCAATCCTTGAATTAGTATGGCATGGAATCCTTCACTCTTCCATCCTTGCAGTTTTTCCTTCTGAAGAGTTACAGAGCACACCGATTGGTTACAACAACGCTCTGCCAAGGCAGATCTGGAAAAATGATCCTTCCTGACTCACCTAGCAGTATAAGCAAATTCCACAAGTTGTTCAATAATGTCAGGTTCAGCATCTTTGAGTTCTACTTCAAAGGATTTGGATTCAAGCATGTTAGCTAAAATGAAGAGAAGAAACAGACGGCATCAGTCTTACAGGTTTACCTGAGGACCCAGACCATTCCAGGCCATGTTAAATATGGAGCAGAATAATAGGACAGGTCTCTTGGGAAGAAAATATCCTAGCAAACCCAACATTATCATAATAAATGCCAAGTAATTTTCCACATTTGAGTTGCATCTTAATCTAAGAAAATAGTGTACTATTTTTTTTAAGCCCAAATAAACAGACATAAAGCTAGACTTAATTTCCCCCTAACTCCTAAAGCAATTTAGTAGCACTTTAAAATCATTACAAGCAAATCATCCCTGGTGTAGTTAAATCTATGAGAGCAATAACAATTATGTGTGTGTGTGTGCGTGTGCACACAAAGCTCTTATTCCTTCTAAAAACCCTGGTAGGTAGCTGGAGCACCAAAGAGAAAGGGGCAGATACACTACAGAACTTATCAAGCTCATAAAACAGTACCAAGTATAGGAAGCAGAGCTTGGACCCAGTTCTCAACTCTAAATCTAGGTGCTTTCATGTACAATACGCTGTGTCTCTTTTTTCCTTTTCAGTTTTAACTTGCTAGATAAAATGTCGTAAGATTTATCTGTTCCTTTGTCTTTCCACTTGAGGAAGAAACCCCTGGGCGCTACGGTGGAAGCCACATCTCCATCAAAGGCATCAGCCCTTAGGTCTCATGAAAGGATATTTTTCCTTTGCTCAATCATTGCCTGACCACTTTTCTTTCGGTCTCTTCATTGTCCTGTAAGTGAAAGTGCTTAAAAGACTAGGGAAAATGCCATATTTACACCTCATTTTTATAGAAAAAGTAATGGCATGCTTTACCTTACAATACTTACTTGTGAACATTAAGTTAAAAAAGTGACTAGCTGCAGCAAGGACAACACGATGAGCAGGTATCTTTCTTTCCTGGACCATGAGGACCACATCACACAATGTTTTCTATCAAAAGGAAAATATATAAAGTTAAAAGGGCTCACTCGGCCTAGCTTTCACATCTGTTATGTATATACACAGAACGTTTGGTGCTTGCCAAATGCTTTATTTCTTGTTTTCAGTTTAAATCCAGACTTTTTCCAGCAGAGAATGTCTTTATAAGACATATTCAGGAAAAACACACAGTTGTTGTCATGTAGTTAAAAAATTGGCACTGAGCTTCCCAACAGCCAGGAGAAAAATTTCCTCAAAATCAGAAATGAGAAAGCCTACTAATTCCTCAGGGAAAACAAAAATCTTTTTCTCATACAAATTCTAAGTTATTTCTCATGGTAAGCTTTTTCTGGGACAAATTAAATTACATAATAGCAATGGTCCTGATAATTTTCCAAACATAGCAATTAGTTTTTCTGGGACTTTTTCCCCAGTTATCTAAACTTGATAAAATCCAGAGCATACAATATCTAACTTCAAACAGAAATAACTCACAATACACAGAGTATATGAACTGACGGTTCCTTCAACAACCTTTTCTTACCTAACACATCTTTCGAATGCACTTCCAACAGAAGCTAGGTAGCAGCCAGTTTCAAACTGTGATCTCTGACAAAGGCCAAAATAGTCACTCTAGGCAGTTGAAGGCAGCTCTAGAGTAAATATTTCATAAAAATGTGGGGAAACTCAGGAGTTTGAGACCAGGCTGAGCCAGAGACCCCATATCTAAAAATAGTTGGACGTTGTGGCAGGCACTTGTAATCCCAGCTACTTGAGAGGCTGAGACAAGAGAATTGCTTGAGCCCAAGAGTCTGAGGTTGCTGTGAGCTATGATCCCATAGCACTCTACTGAGGGCTACAAAGTGAGACTCTGTCTCAAAAAAAAAAAAAAGTGGGGAAAATGGAATATTAAAAGAAAAAATGAAGATTTACTGGAATTGGCTGGGCGAGGTGGCTCACATCTGGAATCTTACCTTTGTCAGTTGGGTGGCACTTGAGTCCGAGACCAGCCTCAGGGAACATGACTCTGTCTCTACTAAAAGTAGAAAAGCTAGCCTAGTATTGTGGCAGGCACCTGTAGTCCCAGCTGCTTGGGAGGCTGAGTCAAGAGTTGCTTAAGCCTAAGAGTTTGAGGTTGCTGCGAGCTATGATGCCACGGTACTCTACCCAGGGTGAGATAGTGAGACTCAAAAAAAAAAAAAAAAAAAAAAGAAGAAGAAAGATTTACTAGAATCCTTACAGATGAATTTAAAAGAAAAATAAATATCCTTTCTGTCAAATAAAATTTCAATTTCTTAATTACGTTGGAGATATAATACATAGTTTAGACTCCTAGAAAATCTGGTGCCTACAATGTATTAAGCACTGCCCTAAACAACACATTCAGAGTTCAAAACAATCTCTCATTCACAAATCTAAATAATGGCTTAGCAGCTCAGAGGACTTGCACTTTGTAAATTTTAAGGGTTTTACCATAAAAACTATTAATATAGTTTCTGATAGATAAATCAACTGCTATTACCTACTTTATTACTTTGTAATAAAAACTGAAATTAAATGGTAATGTTTAAAATGAGAGAGAAAAGGGACCCCAAATAACAGGCTAAGAAATGAATAAAATTTCATTTTCATAGCTTATTTAAAGATTTTTTAAATTAAGGCCTATAGACTATTGCTTTGAAATTATATGCAGATTTCTTATACCTAAAGCTATTTTTATCCCATAGTATCTTAAATTTTTAATGTTCATTTCCTTTTACTTGGGGAGGGAGTAGATAGAAGGCATAGTTCTCTGGTGATTTTGTCACTTACCACACCAAATAGCAAAACCAAACTATTTGGTTATCACCCAAACAAACTGATCAAGTTGCTTGAGAGAGAGAGAAAGAGGGAAGAAAAAAATAGCAAGCAAATCTGATTATATTAGAGCATAAGGTTCTCACAGGGGAGGAATCTATGGCTACTGATGGAAATTTCATAGAACATACAGTTGAACCAAAATTTAGCAAGAACATTTAGAAGGTATACTCAAGAATAGCATTTGTAAGTGGAGTGAATTCATAGGCACTAACCTTGAAGAAATGGAGATGTTTGTATAGCAACTGAGTTTTAGCCCAAGATTAATAACCAGCTAGACAAATGTGTGTGTATAGTAGAGGACGGTAAAGTAGGGTGAGCCTTTTGTATCCAAATGGTACATTTACTTGACTATAAAACAATCGAAGCCAGTCGCAGGGGCTCATGTCTGTAATCCTAGCACTCTGGGAGGCAGAAGCAGGTGGATTGCCCTGAGCTCACAGGTTCGAGACCAGCCTGAGCAAGAGCAAGACCCTGTCTCTAAATAATAGGAGGGCGTTGTGGCGGGTGCCTGTAGTCCCAGCTACTTAGGAGGCGTAGGGAAGAGAAGTGCGTGAGCCCAAGAGTTTGAGATTGCTGTGAGCTATGATGTCATAGCACTAGATCTAACAAGGGCAACAAAGTGAGACACTGTCTCAAAAATAAATAAATAAAATAAACACAGCAGACTGATAATTTTCAATGAGAAATGGGACTGACCCAGAAAGAGAGGTCCCTTCTGCTATCAATAAGCTATGGAAGAAGTATATTCACAGACAAGAACTGGGAGAGACCCAAGTAAATTGGAGAATAAGAGAAGTGACAAGTCCTAGATGGGCTGAAAATAAGAAACCTAAAACAAAAAAATTAACTTTGGAACAGAACAAGTTCACTGGTTAAACTTGAGAAAAAAACCCCAACTTTCAACTTCTCTGTTCATGCCCCCCTTATTTGCCCTATATTTGTTATATTAATATTTATGTGTGTTATCTTTAGTTTCTTATACACAGCACAGATTTTGTCATGACTCAAAGTTATCACTATTTCAGATAATTTTAGTACGGTTTAGCTCAATACTTCATATTTATTATGAAATATTTCATCTTATATATGCCATCTTCTTTTATGTATTTATTATACTTCCTTGCTGTGTCTATTCTTTAATTGCCAGTGAAAGCACTGGATACTATTCCAACCAAATTTTCTTTGTGTTTTTCTCTTCCTTTAGGAACTTATTTATACATCTGTTAGCTATTTGGCAACTGAATCCAGAAAGTCACTAATCAAATTATTATTCTAGGAATAAAAGGAGGGCTCAAGAACAATGATTCTGTTAAAATGTAATTTATCATATCTATAGGTTAAAAGAGAAAAACTTCAGTGGATACCAAAAGAGTGTGTGATAAAATTAAACATTAGTTTCCTAAGACCTTTTAATAAATAAAATGATGTGTCTGTATGCTGAAGTCATTTGTCAGAAATCAACAGTGAAGACCACAGGTAATAGAGAAACAGCAGAGGTATTCTCATTGAAGTTTGAAACAAGGTATACATATCCTTGTCATTATTATTCAACATTGTTTTAGAGATTTTAGCAAAATCAGTAAGAAAATAATAATAAATCAACTCAACAGTTATAGAACAGGAAAAGTCAATAAGACAACCACAAATAAGACTGACATGCAAAAGCAATTAGCTATCCTTTATGTAAGTAATAAGCCATAAAGGTAGAGAAATGAGAAAAAAACTCAAGTCACAGCCGTGACAGAATAATTAAATATGGAGAAATAAACATAAGAAATGTGAGGACTTTTCACTGAGTGGGAACCTGATACATGATAAAGATACATTTCAAAAATGTGGTGATAAGGTAGACTATCGGATACTGTAATGGTGGCCTGTCATTATTCATCTGTTAAAACTCATAACATGGGCAGCACCTGTGGCTCAGTGAGTAGGGCATCAGCCCCATATACTGAGGGTGGCAGGTTCAAACCTGGCCCTGGCCAAACTACAACAAAAAAAATAGCTGGGTGTTGTGGCAGGTATCTGTGGTCCCAGCTACTCTGGAGACTGATGCAGGAGAATCGCCTAAGCCCAGGAGTTGGAGGTTGCTGTGAGCTGTGATGCCACAGCCCTCTACCAAGGGCATTAAGGTAAGACTCTGTCTCTAAAACAAACAAACAAACAAACAAACCCATAACATTTAGAACACAAAGAGGAAATACTAACGCAAACTACAGACTTTAACAATAATGTAACAACACTGACTCATCAATGGTAACAAAAATACCACACTAATGCAGGATGGTGGTAACAGGGGAAACCGTGTGGGGAAGAAAGTGAGGGAATAAATGGAAGCACTTCTCTCTACTTGCTACTTAATTAATTTTTCCATAAACCTAAAACTGCTCTAAAGTCTATTAATTTAAAGGAATGTGGTGAGAGATCAGCTATTCGAAGAAAATGTTACAAAGACAACTTAACCATTCAGTAAAAACATTAAATTCTTCACTTACAATGTAACTCCCTCTTCCTCTAAGGAAGGAAGCTTCAGTCCTTTTCTCCACATGTCAGTCAGTCACAGGTGGAAGAGTGACTGTAGGAGGGACAGGAGTGTGGTAGAAGTCACTGACCACATACACACATACACACAGCCAGGCCTCCTGACTCATTCTTCTTCCCACAGTCTGCCCCCCAAATGGGACAAAGCTTATTGGGGGCAGGGGGAGGACTGTTCCTGTTAATCAGCTCTTCTGGGTTGGTAAGTTTAGTGTAGTGCATAAGAAATAGGAAACCCAATTTTATGCTCAGGTCAAAGTCATATCCTTCGGTCTGTCTCTTGTGTCTACTTCTCAATGGTTCAGAACCAGCAATGAAGAGCCCCTCAAATCTGTATGCACAGACACTCAAAGCATCACAGAAGACAGAAAGTTTGGTGCAACTTCAGTGCTTGCAAGCTTGGGGGCTTTTACAGGAAGAATACTTTGGTTCTAAGAAAGGTTCACCCCAAAACAGGCAGGCACTTTAGGCATCTGTTGGTACAATGACCTTTTGCTCTTTACTGAGTTTGCCAGTCTGGACTGTAAAAGGCAGCTAGGTCCACATATGCTCTCAACTAGCAAAGTATTAGAGTTTAGCTTTTAACAGTATGTGCTACTTACCATTAGTAGGAT